AAGATTTATCTTTTAGTTTTTGGAACTTCAACTATGATGCACCTTGGAGTGGATTTTTTTTTAGTTTATCCTGTTAAGGCTCACTCAGCTTCTTGAATCTGTTGTGTGTATTTTGCCAAATTTGAGAAGATTTCAGCCATTATTTCTTCAAATATTCTTTCTGCTCCACACTTTCTCCTTTCCTTTTGTGACTCCAGTGATATGAATGTTGGATCTTTTGTTGTTTTCCCACCGATCCCTGAGACTTAATTCATATTTTTTCAGTCTTTTTTCTCTTTTTTTGTTTAGATTGGGTATATTCTACTGAATTCTTCAAGTTTAGTGACTCTGTCCTGTCATCTCCACACTACTATTAAGTGCATCCAGTGGGCAATTGTTTTTTATTTATTTGTTTTATTTATTTTTTTTAAATATATCTTTATTGATTTCAGAGAGAGAAAAGGAGAGGGAGAGTGAGAGATAGAAACATCAATGATGAGAGAGTCATTGATCAAGCCTGCAACCGGGCATGTGCCCTGATTGGGAATCGAACCCCGATCGCCTGGATCCCAGGTTGACGCTCAACTGCTGAGCCACGCCTGGCCGGGCTGTTTTTTAATTTCTGTTATTTTTTAAGTAGAAAATCTTTCTTAAAGCTGATAGTTTAGGTCTTTAATTCATCTCTAATACTGAGCTGCTAATACAACAGAGAATCACTTTAGCTAATGTCTCTAACTTTCTTAATGCCTAAAAAAAGGTTTAATGAATCAGAAAAACTCAAAGACCAGGTCACCCATCCCTATGGAATTGTCTTTTCTGCTGAAAGAAATACTAGCAACAGCATACAAGTGGACAAGCCTCCTCAGCTGTGTAATTCAAATATATCATAGTTTGAATTATGTGCAAACTGCATAGGCTACCACAGCTCTTAAAACCACCCAAATAATACCAGCTAATTTCTGATATTGAAAATTATACCAGTGATAATGAAATCAACACCATTATTACATCCCTTTTCATTTTTTGATAGCTTCAGATTTTCTGTTATTCACATATGTGTATTTTGGCATAATGCCAGTGCCTTTCACAAGCTTCTAAAAACAGCTTCCAAACTCTATCCAATTTTGCTTTAAGCTAATAAAATTCTCACCTTGTGCCAAGATGTTAAATGTTATTCAGTGTCTGTTAGTTGGAAAAGGCAGCCATCTAATTCTTCACACTCTTATTTCTGCAAAAACAATGATTCTACTTTGATCACTTTTCCATAAGTCTAAAGAGACTCTAATCATCCAGAGGGAAGCTTTCCTTTTAAAACTTTCTATTGCTTAAATTCTTTATGCAAATCATCAATTAGCATATAGCCTAAGGTTACAACCTCACACCCTTCTGGCCTCTACAGAAGTACTCTACAGGGCTCCAAATCAGACTGCAGAGGGAGAAGATTGCATTGTTGCCTTTTGTTCTCCCAGAAAGTTATGTTGTAAGTCAAAAATCAAAAAGTTAGCTTAAATGTATGGATATTTGTTCTAGGAAGTAGTTATCTGATGTTACCTTTGTTCTTTAGAACTCCAGTGGTAAACTTACTGACTTCCTGAGCTTCTACACACTCCCCTCCACAGTCATGCACCACCCTGCTCACAAGAGCCTCAAAGCTGCCTACTCCTTCTACAACATTCACACAGAGACACCTCTGCTCGACCTCATGAATGATGCGCTCATTATAGCCAAATTGGTAAGCAATTCACTCCTTTTTGTTCTGTGTTTTTCCAAATATGTGTGTCAAACTATATAAAGCATCTTACTTTATTTTCTTCCACGCAGGAAGAATTCATTTGAGTTTTTGTTGGTTTTTTTGTTTTGTTTTGTTTTTTTACTTTTGACCATCATTCAAAGGAAGAATTTTGATAAGAGTTTCTTTTAAACTTCAGTGGCTATTTTCATCATTAATTCTATTGCAACTTCATCAAAAAGACATTTTGTATAAAGTAGATACTTTAAACACTTACATAAGAATACATATAACCCTTAAGAAATATAAGATACATGATCCCATAATATAAAGAAAATACATTAGTATTTGTTTTACAGTGAATAATTAGCAACAATAAGTTTTTTGATTCAAATAAATGGGTCTCTGAATTTTAAAATTAAAGGGATTTTATTTTTATAGGGGATTATTGATAAAATTAAAAGAATTTAAAATGAAAGGAATTTAATTCAAAATATGCCTTACTATATTTATATTATTTTTTATTTCCTAAATGTAATAGGATAGTTATTAAATTCTTGCTACAAATAAATGTTTTCCTTTAAAAAGAAATTGAAATCAGTAGATAGATACTTTTCAATGTAATTACTATGAGAAAATATTCATGTGAATTGGGTACAACACATCAAAAATGTCTTCCTTGCACTTACTAGTATTTGATCATTGATTTTTTAACGACAGAAACACCCATTACTGGTAGATCCCCAAATCAACATTTTCCTAATTCTTTGATCCCATTGCTCATTTTCAGCTACTTCCCCCAAAAGGCCAGTAATAAGTTATTTAAAGTAAAATCCCTGAGAAACAGGAATTTATATGCTGCATCTAAATCACATTTTGCCTAGTATTATCTAAATTTTAAAGACATTAGATTTTTACCATTAAGTTTTACTAAATTTATTTCCCATAATCAGCCCAAGACAAATATACTATGTAAAGTTTTTACTTTTGTCTCTTGGCTCTAACTTGAGCTGTCACAACTTAGACCAGTAACTAACAGTTCTAGAGATGGAGCCTTCTAAAACAGGAACAGATATTTTATGAACTTTTAATAGATTTTGTTGTGTCATTGTTAGTCAGCATACTATATTTTGATTCAGCATTTCTGCAGAACCTTGCTGACGCCATCAGACTCACTGTTAGTTACATAAGAAAGTTTCAAACTGAGTTCTTCACCTATATCATATTTAGTACAGACACTGGATCTTATTATATGCATATTCAGGTTCTTATAGGAATTCAGTGTTATGCTGATGTACAGAATACAGACAACACTGGAGTCTCTTGAAATTTTCAATTTTAAATCCTTTTTACGTTGGCAGAAAGGATTCGATGTTTTCAATGCACTAGATTTGATGGAAAATAAGACATTCTTGGAAAAACTCAAGTTTGGTATAGGAGATGGCAATTTACAGTATTACTTGTACAATTGGAGGTGTCCAGGAACAGATTCTGAAAAGGTAAGGCGTTGATATACCCTTTGTAAACTTTATACATTTACCTAGGAAATTCCATACTTCCCTTAGGATTATTAAGCTTTTTAGTAGCTTTTTAAAAAATACTGATCTATTGTACTACATTGTAATTTCATTTCTTTCTTGCTTATCTGTTCTTACTATTCCATTTCTTCCCTCCCTTTAGGTTGGACTTGTATTACAATAGGTGGATGTTTCCATTCCTAGAACTCTGACACTATCCATCATTTGTTAATATTCTATTTAATGATTCCTGGAACTGCCATTCCAAAGAATAAAAGCACAACTTAAGTGACATCGATGCAGCCAGTAATAATCAGAAAAGATGAAAAAACATCCCTATGTGACCAGCACTACATATTTCTAGCTGGAACTTTCACATTCTTCCTTTTTTTCATTGTTTACACATTTAAAGGAGGGATGAAAGGGTACAACGAGCACATTCCTCTAATCAAACTTTTGACTGTCTCTTAATGAAGAGAAGGTATTTTTCCATTCTCTAGAAAGGGACCATTTTTAATGGATGGAACAGAAGTCACAGACTCATGTTAGAAAATGCTAATGTGTGGAGATAAACTGCTTCATTTTTATTTATTAAGTGGTGATCTGTTTGTCCGTGTAACCGAAAAAAGGACCCATTTGGGAAATTTTTCCTTCTATCACTTTCCACTCTCACTGGGGACATTTCTGGAATCAGCACTTCCATTACTCAATGATGAGTGGTGGGTGTTTATGTGTAGAGCGAGATAAAAATGTACTGGTGAGTAGTACATTTATTTCTCCAGAAGCAAAGTTGCCAAATCAATAAACACACAAATGTGTGCTTTAATTTTCAACAGCAAAGCTTTGTGCAAACATGAACTGTGTTCTCTGAGAGTGTGCACCCAGGACTGATGAGACTTTGCTGCTGCTGCACAAACTTATTTCTTCTCAGCAACAGCAAGGATGTGCAAGGAAAAGAAAATGAAAGCGCTAAAGTAAAAGAAAATGCCCAGTGGAATTTATTAGTACTATCAGGATATTGATAGTTTGAATGTTTTCATTACTTATGCAAAATTGCACATATTCCTTTATGCGGACTTTAATTTATCATGAAAGCTGTCATGCTAATCAAAAATGTCTTATTTGTAAATAAGTATTCATAATTTTGTTATGGATGGTGTTTTTATCTAAAATTTGAAAAAACAAGTTTCACAGTGTACATATATGTATATATTGCCAATAGTCCAAGGGGAAAAAAGATGCCAAATGAGGCCACATAAACTGGCCTTGACTCTGATTCCACAAAGTAGATACTTCTTCCTCCCCCCTTCTTCCAGTGCCTAGGCTGTTCAGTCCAGAAAAATTTAACAACGCGATGGCTTTTCCTTTTTAAGTAGGCAAATGAAACCAGCCCTGTCTTATACCAGGCAGGCGGCAGCAAACTATGGCCCATCAGCTAAATCCAGCCCATTGCCTGTTTTTGTCCAGCCCACAAGCTAAGGATGGTTTTTACATTTTTGAGTGGTTAGAGGAAAATAACATTTTGTGACATAAGAAAATTGTATGAAATTCAAATTTCAGCATCCATAAGTTTTATTGGAACACAGCCACACTCCTTCATTTATGTACTGCCTATGGCTGCTTCATGCTACAGAAGACAGAGTTGTTTCAATAGAGATTATATGAACCAAAAAGCCTAACATATTTGCTATCTGGCCCTTACAGAAAATGTGATCCTGATTTACACTAAGGAGCTGAAAGCCACCTTCTGCAGTTTGCCATTATCCTAAAGACCAACCCAGGGCTTGTGGTATCCCTGAGAATACAGGTAGAGGGTGTGTGTGTGGGCTCCACAGTATACTTAGGACAGCACTGTGTACTTTCTTGGACACAGGGAAAGCTTCTCATTTAAGATGATTGAACCCAATGGTATTTCTTAACAGAAGATGAAAACTTCAAGAAGCAAAATTGAACCAATTCACTGAAACTTTTTTCAGACACCAGCATTAAATAAGTGAGATTTTAATCTGGAGCCAAGGTTCAGTTGGGAATTATGTTCCATTTCATTTTTATAGCAGAGTCTTTCAAATAATTGCAGAATAGCCAGTTAGAAATTTTGTCACAAGCTAAATTCCAATTGTTATAGAAATCTTATTTTTTCTCATTTAAAAATAACTAGCACATTTGCCTCTATAATTTAAGATTATCAACGAGCATTTAAAAATAATCAGTAAAACTGCTTGTGTTTATTAAGCTGCTGGTAGAGCTAAATTTCAATGTAGTATACAGTGTTTTATGTATTTCAAAAACCATACATTTGCCCTACACCCTTTGTCAATAATGAAAATGCTCTTTTTCATGAGGATCTTTTATTTGGCCAGGATGGCATTCAGTAAAATTTAAGTGAGTGGAGGTGGCATAATCCATGCATCAACCAGAATTTAAGTTGAAAATAAACTTTGGCCACTCTTCCAAAAGAAAAAGTTTCCAAACATACTATAAGTAGCAGACACTTTAACATAACCACAGTATGTTGATTATGCTCCATTTCCTAACATGAAGGATGCCCATCATTGCACAGACCCACCTCTGAGAATCCAATCTCCTTTTATTTTCTTCTTGCCTCATTTCACCTAATTACCATCACACTTTTTATACACGCTAAGTTTCCAAGGAAATGTTAACCATGTAAAGGGGTGAATTCTAACTAATCAAAAGACCTTATCTGGCTTTTCTTAGAAGTATCAAGCCTTTGTCCCAAGCCCATGCTTAGACCTAACCTAAAGAAAGTCAAATCGGAGGAAGTAAAAAGTGATGTATTGTATCTGAAGACAATGTATTGCTTAGCATTTAGTATCTTTCCTTTAAAACTGATGACGTATCTGCAATCCAGTTTCATCTACTCTACTAACTAGAACCATGTTTACTGTGGTACATTTTCCAAGTTTGAGAGAAAGATGTTAAGTGCTGTAGGATACAGATGTTCTTGCTCACAAGCATTGTACCAACCTTTTAGAAAGTGAATTTACACAAGCATGGACATTAGTTTCAATAAACTTTTGATATGCATACTTCTGAATATTTTCTGCATTTAATGTTTTTAAGCTTCAGCATATCAGTGCTGTCTAAAAAGTCTTATGCATTTGAAAGGAACATTATTACCAATCTCCCGTAAATCTATGTATAAGTAACTCAGTTTATTCAAGTTTTGTTTTTTTTTTACAAGGTGTCATTTTCCAATTGTATTGAGTGACAAGTTTATACACAATTACTTTGAAGTAGTTTTTTTACTTTTGGGTGGTTTTCTCCTTTTATTAGGATTTGGAATCAGTTTCTTTATTTTAAGGGGTTGTAGCACTACAGCCTGCTGACCTTCAGTGAGCTTTCTCTTATGTTTAGAGAGGTCTTCAAAAGAAGTGTCCAAAATTTCTTTGTCTTGGTTTTCCAAAGATTCACACTCTGAATTTTCCCTGGAGTCTTCAAGTCTATCTTGAAGCCATGGTACATTTAAATTGGGTACTCTGGGGATTATAACTTTAACTTCATTGACAAAGTCAGTGGTGTTCTTTTTAAATCCCAAAGCTAGCACACATTTTAAGCCAATGACAGGTGCAATTCTCTCACTGAGACGGGGAACCTGACAAGCAGGGACCATTCTACTTAAACTTAACTGAATCAGGTGTGAGGTGATGATTGCAGGCTTGGCTGACTTACACACTAGAACCAAAAGCAGTTCATTCCTTTCCAGAGCCCTGGTGACTTCATTAACGCCAATGGCAAGCTGCCTTCTGACATGGACAGAAGTCCACCCTGACACTTGTTGGTTATCTTCTGTTTTTTTCTCCTTCAGGTCCTCACTCATATCAACATCTATGCTACATTTGTTTTTGCCTTGTTTTTTTAAAAAAGGCTGCTTTTTACTTCTCTTCTTATCCTCAATCTTCTCAAGCCCAATAGATTTAAACCTGTCTTCAAGTGTCTGTAAGATGAAGTGCAAATCCTCTCTCTCCAGAGCACTCCAGCAGATTGTATACGGGTTGTTCAATGATGTCTTTACAGTTAAAGGTCTTGTCTTCCGAACAGAGCCCCTCCCTGGTGCCTGAGGAGCTGCAGCCATTCTAAAAATCCTTCACTGAGAAGCAAAATGACAAAGGAAAATTTGGGTTAGCTAGCAATGCATGTCTTAAGAATATACCAGTTGTATCTGTTCTGATTCTTTACAAGCTACAGCGGACCTATCTATAGAGAACCAATTATGTGACCATACATTTAACCTCTCCTTTAAGATTCAGTAATTTATCTTCCCCATTTTTTTCATTTGATTGTCTTTATTCATATACAGACAATATGAATGTTTTGCATTATTGCAATCACAGTGAAATTCTATTTGTTTATTTCATTTATTAAAAGTGTTCCATGTTTCTGCCTGGCCAGCATGGCTCAGTGGCTGAGCATTGTGAACCAGGAGATCGAAATTTGATTCCTGTCAGGGCACATGCCTGGGTGGCTGGCTCAATCCCCAGTAGGGGGCGTGCAGGAGGCAGCCAATCAATGACTCTCATCACTGATGTTTCTCTCTCTTCCTCTCCCTTCCTCTCTCTGAAATCAATAAAAACATGCTAAAAAAATATATATTCCATGTTTCTACTTGTTTGAAATTATCTTCTTAACGACTATACAGTATTAATCTTATTTGTTACCATTCTCTAAATTCCTCTCTAGTTAGGCTTTCATTCATCTATTCAACAAAGATTCACTGAGCACCTCCAACGTGCAGGCAGTGTTCCAAGCACTGGGGTTCAATGGTGAACAAGTCCCCATGTCCACCCACACAAGTCCCCATGTCCGCCTACACAGAGCTCAATTTGTGAGGGCTCTGGAAGCCTCTGCCTCTTTAGGTCGTGATTTTTAAAAGAACTTGAACAATAACATATGCACATGATTAAAAATTCAAGAGATACTTTCATTTTATGCCCTCTTGTAAGTTTTCATCCCTGGACCCTGAGCTGCTTTTGTATATCCTTCCTAAAACATTTGATACATATGCAGGTGGACAATCCCCCTTCTTTCAGTTATCTCAAGCTGACTGCTCCTCCAGCTGGCAATTTGATGAAAACTAGGAAAATTTTGTAATGAAATTTAAAGGTATTAATCCATTAGGGAAAAATAACCAGAAGGAGTCTTGCTGGGGAAATATTATAAAACACTAATCTAGGGAGTATGTCCTGTTTCTCCTTCCTAGAGGCAACTGCATATTCCTTCCTCTTCCCTCAGTTTTCCTCACGTTCTTCCTGGGGCTCAGGTAACAATCATAGGGACCCACGTAGCAAAACTCAAGGAAGTCAAACCAGCCCTGGAAAAGTCTTGTGTTTGGAACTATCCCTATTTCCAGGTAACCAGAGTTTCTCATTCCAGATATTCCCTCATTTATCCCACGGAGGCCTGCCCTCCCTGAAACACTCCATGCATGGTTCTAATAAAACTTCTCTAATCAAACTCCTACTTACCAGACTGACTACTGATGTTGACAAGCAAGTGTCTCTGTGGAGAACTCAGAATTTATAAGGCACTTTCTCCATGTATGTATTTGAGCCTCACAAATTTCCTGTATAACTGCCCCCAACATGTGGATGAGGAAACAGACCCAAGTCAAATACCTTGCTTGAAGTCACAGCTGGTTTCCAAATCTATATTTTATGGTCTCCCAATCCTGGCTGTACTTCAGAAATAATCTGTGGCCTTTAAAATATACAGATGGTTGGTCTTTACACTCAATCACTCAGTTGGAATCCCTAAAAATAGGGCTGGGGCATCTGGACATTTAAAAAGTTGTCCGGGTGAATGTGATAGAGAACTGGAATTAGGAACCACAGGTGTAGGACAGGAAGCCTTTCCACACTGGACAGCTCTGAAAAATGGTCTCCTGACCTCTCCTGGTCTCCAGAGCTCCAAGGGGTGTGTGATCAGATCTCGTTCATGTCAGTATCGTGTCCCTGCTAGAGACTCGGTATCTGCAGCCTTCAAACCAGCCCCACTGCACAGCCCTCCCCAACCAACATTATCTATGCTCCACTCAAGCTCAGTACTGGTAAGTAGTTCATCCAAATCCAAAGGTTGAAGGTGGTCAGGAAGATGAGCAAGACAAAAATAATCTGATGGAGCTCTTGCCAAACTGCAAATCTGTTAATGTGTCAGCATTCAAACAACACAGAATAAATACTTACAATTATGTGCTCTGGAGAGAGCAAGATATGCATTAACTCCTGTCCTCAGAATCTGGTGTGGGAAAGGAGAACCAAGAAGTTAGATAAGCAGAATCTTAATGCCCTATAATGCAAAAACAAAGTACTCACTGGTAAGAAGTAATAGCTTTGGTAGAGAAAAATAGGAAGCCCTTGTTGAGGTGCCTTTGGAGCTGTCTTGGAGGCCTCTACTGACTATAGGATCAAGTGCAAACTCTTTAAGGTGACATAGAAGGCCCTCCACACACTCCCCATCTCCCCACCAGCCTTTCTCATGTGCTCCATCAGGCACGTTACACCCCACCACTGAACCACATGCTACTTGAGGCCACCAATTTCTCCTCTCGATGTCCTTAGGCACACCATTCCCTCTACCTGTAATACTATTCCCACCCTTAGCCTCATGACCCCCCTTTCTTCAAGTATTTCTGGATTATCCACAATGTACCTAGCCATTAAATATTACAGTGAAAGTCAGTGGCCTCAATGAGCTTAGAATCTACGAGGAAGACATATCAGCAGGTAATAATACAGTAAGACATTCAGGTCAGGAAACAGGATACTAAAGGAACATAGCAGAAGACTAACTTAATGGAGGGAGTCAGGAAGGGCCTCCTGGAGGAAGTGACCTTTTGACTAAGTATCTGAAGAATGCCTACCAAAGGGAGTACCAAGTAGTGTGTCCAGAGGACAGCATTAAAGGAAAGTCAATGTAACTGGGACAGATGCTGGAGAAAGTAGTGAGATATTAGGAAAGGTGGGTGAAGACCAGACGGTGAAGGTCCTTGAAGGCCTTACAGTGGGAAGCGACTGTACTACCTTAAAGCAGGGGAGTGGCAGGATTGGAAAAGCACTGCAGGATGATCTTTGTGGACTGGGGCGTGTAAGGGTCATTGGCCAAGACGGAAGCAGTAAAGAGGCTCCCCGAGAAGTCCCCGGTAAGAAATGATGGTGGCCTGCTGTAGAATAGCTGCAGAAGGGATGGACAGAAATACATGCTAGTTAAAACAGTTAAGAGGTAAAATCTACCGAACGTAGTGACCAACTGGGAGTAAAGCAGGGAATGGTCCCAGGGCCGCCTCCCGGTTCCTAGATCCAGCAGGGAGGAGGACCGGCCAGTCCCCGAGGCTGCCGTCAAACGCCGTGAGCCCCTCCCTCAGTGCCGTGCCTGTACCTAGCGCCTTCAGTACTTTACCATTTAGCACACGCGACTGGAGCTATTCTGCGGTCCGTCTCCGCGTCCAGGCTGTGGAGTCCTGAAAGGCCGGCGTGAGGCTTCCCCTTGGTATTTCTCTTACCCAAAGGACGCTCAACCCCAGGCCAAGCGCCGAGCGTGAGCCAGAGGCCCGCAGACAGAAAACCCGCCCGTCCGGGCGCGGCGGGTCCAGGGAAAGCCCTGGCGGGGTCCAGGTCCTGCGCGCCCGGCCTCCACACGCCGCGAGTCCCAGTCGCGATTCCACCCCGCGCGAGCCCCCTCCTGCTCCTCCCACTCACAGTCGCGACAGCGCCGGGTCCACGTGAGCCGCCATGCGCGTGCGCAGAGCCCTCGCCTCCAAATGCCCACGGAAGTTCACATTTCATCACTCTGCGTTCTCTCACTTACTGCGGAAAAAGTCGGCTCTGTGCTACGCGCGGCCCTTAAGGTCCAGGGCGGGTACCGAGCTGTAGAAACCTTGCTTTTGGGAGCAGTGGTGGGAGTGAGGCTCCGGAAAGGCGCCTGCCGTGAGGGGCCTTCAGCAGCAGTGCGCATGCGCAATGTCTGTCTCGCGAGATCTCACGGTTGCCACGGTAACCTGCAGCTAGCTAGCTCGGCTGCCTCACCGGGGAGTTTGAAAGCTGGTCCTCTCACCAGCCGCCCTCTCCCTTCTCACTCAGTTGCTAGCTTTCTGCACCTGGCAGTCAGCCCTCTCTCTCTTCCCGCTTTTCTGTATTTGGCTTGCCTAAGGGGCGCAAAACCTTAGCCCCTGTCCCAGTGCCCCCATCTTCATTGAATCCCTGCGGGAATGCCCAGCATCAGGAAAATCAAGATAAACGGGGGATGAGGAGTGGTTTGAGGAAAAAACATGCCTACAGGCAATAATGTAGGCGATCTCGAGCCCCCTGCAAGAGGGGGAGTAAAGGCTGCTGTGAGCTGTGTGGCAGCAGTTCAGAAAACTCCAAGTGTCTGCTGTGGCTACTCCAACCAATGGAGACTAATGGCTGGGAATGGAGTCGCTGAGAAGTTACGGACAGTTGTCAGCTAGCTGAATATTTTCAAAGGCATTTGGTTCTGATGATTTACACTTGGCAAGAACTTAGAAGACGGCAGGTTGAATGTGATCTAATGAGCCCCCTCCCTACTCAGGCACCTCTTCCTTTTGCTTTTCCAATCTGACAGCTTCCTCTTCCTTTTCCTCCTCTAAACATCTTCCTCTTTTTCTCAATCTCTTAACTGCTTGTTTTGGCCCCCCCCCCTTTTTTTTGGTCTAGTTTTATATTTTCAATTTTCATCACCTACATGTACCTAACTGGCCATAAAGTTAACAAAACAAACAGCTGTGTTGCTTTTTGTGAAAGATTAGTGCATCACAGGGTAAAATACAATGTGATTTAAAAAATCTCAATTAGATTAAAAAACGAAGTCACAATGAGTTTGAGTGTAACAACAGGCTCTATTTCATACAATGAACCCTCTTAGTTCACTGTGATGAACTGTAAACATGCACTCCTAAAGTAGCCTTAGATCTCTAGCTTTTAAGCTATAAGACAGAGACACACATCTAATTGAAATACTGGAGTAATGAGAAGGAAATGTGTGTAAGTTTTTTTTTGCACTTAAGTTCTAGATTTATAGTTCCAGATTTTATAAAGTTATACCATCATCTCAGTTTACATTTACTCCATGAAAATTACCTGCCATTACCTTCCACAGCTCTGGAGCCAGGCTGGCTAGGTTGAAACCCTAACTTCATTACTAACTAGGCCTGTGACCATAAAGCAAACTAATTAACTATGACGTGATGAAAATAGTACCAGTTGTGAAGATTAGAACAGCTAAGCTATGTAAGATGCATAGCACAGTCTCTGGCATACAGAAAGTGCTTGATAGTGATAACTGTAATGAATCTAGTGAGAACCTGAATTAAGAATTAATAAAAATTAACTGTGGCCTCTTTGATTTTAGTGCTTGTGTTCTAGTTAAAAACTAGTCATAATTTCTACAAAAATTTTGCTAAAATAAGTAACTATTTCTCTCCCATTTGTAGCACACAAACATAACAAAAAAACAAAAAATGGAAAAAATATTCACACTGCATAGTGGCAGTGCTAAATGTCCAAAGATAAGGCCAGCAAGGAGAAAACCTAATTGGATTCAGACCATTTATTATACTTACAAGACAACAAAAGCAAGATCAGCATGACATCCCTAGTCATAGAGGTCATAGAGGTAAACAACCATAGGTTTATGAGTGGTGGGTCATACTGCACTGGCAAACTAACTTTAAACTTCAGCCAACAGTTTCAGAGACTAACACAGAAGGTGGCAGCTGTACCGCAGGGGTGAGGGGCTGGGGGAAGAGAAAGGAGGGCAAGATGAAAAGCCCTGGTCTCAACTGAAACGAGGGAAATGGAAGACACATTTCACCCCTGTGGGCTCTCCCACAAGATGGAGGGATCACAAGAAAATCCGCCGAGACTCTAGTCTGTAGTCTAGCCTTGCATATGCGGCTAGATGAAGACATGTAAGGTGGTCTGGGGCCCATGGCAGAGCCAATCAATTAAAAAAAGTTTTAGTCCTGGTGCAGTAGCTCATTTGGTTAGAGTATCATCCCAATGTGCCAAGGTTGCTGGTTCAATCTCACGCCAGGGCACATACAAGAAGCAACCAACGAATGCGTAAATAAGTGGAACAACAAATCCATGTTTCTCTCCCTCTCTCTCTCTCTCCCCGCCTTCCTTCTCTCTAAAATCAATAACTTCTAAATTAAAAAATAAAAATAAAAAAGAATTTTATATGGCAACTAAGCTAGTCTGAGATTATTTTTTAAATAAACTATTTTTAGAGCTTTGTTTTTTAAAAGGGAAGGGGCCTAATGTGATTTGATGCTAGACTTCTGACTTCCCGTGGGTTCTAAAGACCCAGCACCAATTTTGGAAATAAAGTATTGACGTGATATAAAATTGGCTGCAAGTAACTGTTCAAAATATGATATATGCATGCAGAGCCTAGAATTTTAGAATTATTTAAGGTATAGATATTTATATGAATTAAATTATCACAGAATTCCTTCTGAAGCAATATGAGAACAAGTTATTGAGAAGCACTTTTATTTAATCCTCACCTAAGGATATGTTTTTATTGATTTTTAAAGAGAGGAAGAGAGAGGGACATATGTGAGAGAAACAGCAATTGATGGATTGGTTATCTCCCGTACTGGCCCAGACCAGGGATCGAACCCATTACCTAAGTATGTGTACTGACCAGGAATCAAACCTGCAACGTTTTGGTGCACATGACAGAGCTCCAACCAACTGACCCACCTGGCCAGGGCAAGAAACAGTTTTAAGATAGAAATGTGTACATGCCTGTATATGTATTAGGTAAATGTAAATAACATTTTACTTTGTTCAACAATATTTATGGTCAATAAATGGACCATCTTTTATATGTCAAGCAGTGTGCTAGATGTTAGATATGTAAGAATAAATAAACTATTTGCCTTTCTTTTCTTCCTTCCCTCCTGCTTCCCTCCCTCCCTTTATTCAACAGATAACAGTATTTAGCGTATTCTAAGTATTGAGGATAAAGCAGTGAACCAAACAAAGTTCTAATGGAAGAGACAGACGATAAACAAAAAAAGTAGAAAAAATATATATACTATGTCAGATGATGCAAAGTGCTATGGACCAAAAAAAAACAAGGAAGGGAGGAGGGGAGTGCTTGGGTGCAGGTGATAAAAGGCCTCCCTGAGAGATGACATGTGAGGGGGTGAAGGACTGAACCAGGCAGACAACCTGGGAAGAGTATTCAGAGGTAAAGGCCTTCAGGCAGGAGTGTGGGACCAGTTGAAACAGCAAGGGGGCCAAGGACAGCAGGAACCCTTTGAAGGAAGGTGAGAATGGAAGGAGAGGAGAGAAGAGATAGCTCCAGGTTTGAAGATCAAACTAAAGATACTTCTTGGGCTAAAGGCTTCTGGAGGAGGAGGAGGTGCCATCTAGACTGAGCCTTGAAAGAGGAACTGACCAATTTAGAAGGTGAGGGAAGGGCATTCCAGACAGTAGAGGAGCCACTATCTATAAACCTGGAAAAAGGGAACTTATAGTTGGGTAGACCTGGTGCGTAGGGTGTGCATGCTGTGGGGAAGACTGCAGTGAGATGAGGTTGAAAAGGTCAGTAGGACCTCAACGATAGTGCACCATCCCATGTATTATTCAGTGGCTATTCTGAGGACAGCTAATTATTTCAGGCACTAGATCTCAACCTTGGCTGCCTCATTCCTAATGCATGTATCCTATCCAACAATCCTTAAATCAGAATCTCTAGCAGTAAGAATCAGACATTGGGTTTGTGTCTGAATTTTTCCATCCAGACGATTGCCAAAATAGAAAAAACCATCCTAAAATTCATATGGGATCTCAAGGGACTCCCAAATAGCCAAAACAATCTCAAAAATAAACAAAATTGTAGGACTCCACTTCCTGATTTAAAAAATTGCTACAAAACTAAAGTAATCAAAACAGCATTATACTGACATAAAGACAGACATATAAACCAACAGAATAGAGCCCAGAAATGAACCCTCACATATTTGGTCAACTAATTTTGACAAGGGGGCTAATGGGGAAAGGACTGTGTTTTTAACAAATGGTGCTGGGAAAACTGGACATTCACATGCAGATGTACTTTCACAAAAATACAGACACAAACCCAAATGTACTTTCACCTTATACAAAAATTAACTCAAAATGGATCAAAGACCTAAACATAAAATCTGAAATTATAAAACTCAATACAGGAGAAAGTCTTCATGACATTGCATTTGACATTGGTATCTTGGATATGACACTAAAAGCACAGATAACAAAAGAAAAAATGTAAACTGGATCTTCATCAAAATTAAAACCTTTTGTGCATTGACACTCTCAAGAGTGAAAGACCACCCACAGAATGGGAGAAAATATTTGCAAGTCATAATATGATAAGAGATTAATGCTCAGAATATATAAATAACTCCTACAACTCAACAATAAAAACCTAATACAAAAAAAGGGCAAAGGACTTAGACATTTCTCCAAAGAAGATATACAAATTGCCAATAAGCACATGAAAAGATGCTCAACATCCTTAGTAGAGAAATGAAAATCAAAGCCATAATGAGATACCACTTCACACCCACTAAGATGGCTATTATTTTAAAAAAATAGAAAATAAGTGTTGGCAAGGATATTGAAATATAAGAATCCTACTAAAATGT